TTCGGAAAACAACTGAAAAAATTTGAATTGAAAAAGTCATATTTAAGGGGGCACTTTGCTTTGATAATTTTAGGCTTTGACGGAAATATCTTTCATTATTATTGAAACCAGAAGCTGCAAATGCAATAAAATCTCACCTCTCCAATGAGAAAATCCACGTCATTCTTGACAAACACGTCTAATTGCTTCTTGAACTCAGCCTGACATGCCTCTTTTCCCTTGCCACTAAGATATGATGGTGTCCGAGAAATATTGCCAGCTACAAGAGCTCCTCCTTCGTTTGCTACCTCTCTAGCTAAGTCACATGCTGCTTGATTGATAGCCTCGCACTAGAAAAAATAAATAAATTTTCGACTCATTTAACTCCAAGGTAATTCTTGTCATGAGCAATTTTTCCTTTACAAATTATTTTTGCCCATAGTTGTTTCGGTATTAATGTCAAGAAAACTTGCTTGTGTAAATGCGGCTTTGGCCCTAGCCTTAGGGTCATCTTTATATGGACGGCTTTTACAGAGATGTTTTGTAGATGAAATTTTATTTTTAGTTTCATTTAACTGACCCCGATTTTGATAGCATCATTTCCTCTGTCCTTTAACTTGTCTTCGCTGGCGTAGCAGGTAAACGTCTGCATGATATCAGCACCCGCTCGTAAGAATTCTCGATGCAGCTGACGAACTTAGACAATAAATAACCATAATTAACATTTGATATTGCAATTGCAAAGAACAATAGACTGGGAAATCGCTTTAGTAGTACAACGTTAAAATTTCCTCTTGACTGGGTTCTTGTTCTTTACCGAGGGGCACTTTCATATAAATACAGTATATTGCTATTCCTCCCATCACTGCTCATGAACACTCTTGTCTTTATGCAAAGTGCCCCTCAAATGCCCAAATCGAAATGCTTTATGGGTCGTAAGGTGTTTCTTTTTACTCGGGCTTCCTTTGGGACTATGACTCGTTGCATGCATAAGTTTAGTATATTCAAATGACTTTGAATTGAAAATGACTTATTGTTTTGAGGGATAGAACAGGGAGAACGTTGCGTGACACTATAAGAAGTGCAAAGTGACAAATTAAGAATACTATTATTGGTTTACCTACCTGCTTCGGGATGCTCCACTGTTGCTTCAGGAGTCCACGGTCCAGCTTTTACATAACCACGTTTTTCCAAGCAAAACAGAAACCCGCCATCTCCCACAACGACCTCTCCAGCATCCAGACGTTCGAGTAGTCCTCGTGGCTGACACAATTAATGAAAATATGTAACAATAAACTAAGGGAAGCGTTAGAAAAGACTACCTTTTACTTTGTTGGTCATGAGTAAGTTGTCAGAGTTCTAAATTATGGACTATGCGGTGATGCCAGTCAATCGATGCCAGCATCAATGGCAGCATCCTTCACAGTGAAATCACTTAGGATTAATAAATATGCATGTATCGATGCATTTGATACTCGGAAAGTCAAGCGAATTCAGGATCGAAACAAATAAATAGTCATAGATTCTCAAGCCATCGGTTGGTCTTCGATTACCGAAATCAATGGAATATGGATATTAATGGATTTTGGATTATTTCGATGACTACGGGAATTGTACACGTAATTCAACTTGGATAATTCACATCAATAATACTTTACCTTGGACATTTTCTTTACTTTGAGCTGAGATCGTTTAATAATCGTATGCCTCTGGAAGAAATCTTTGCAGCAGCATGCAATATGACAAGGAAATAAGTATTCAAAGGTTTTTGATAGATTTTTTTTAGGTAAACAGATCGTGATCAAGCATTAAGTAGTAGCTCAGACGCTGTAGTCTAGGGGACTGAGCGTTGCGTGACGTAGACCAATAATCATTATTAATATATGCATTACGAGTAGCTGTTTTGTAATTCATGACGGATATTGTTTATTTGTTAACAAATTCTACGTTAGTTCTTTTGTGTTTAGCTAAGGCTTTCAAGATAGAAACTGAATCTGCCCAAGAAAAGGAAAGTTAAAGTTTAAGAAAATGAACATGAGTTTATATCAGAATTATTCACTAGTTTCTTACAACCATAAAGCATATGGTTTTTATCATGAATTATTATCGAGTTTATTAATTTAGAAAGCTTTTGTTCGAGGGTTAAAATTAGATTAGACGGTCAAACGCAAACAAAATGGTTATCAAAATAGTTTTAGGAAATGAAATCATAAAAATGTAGCTTTCCACCATTTCAGAGGAACATTTCGATTTTTACTCATTTGTATCAATTTGAGGGAGTATAAACACTGGAATAGTGTTCATGCGCAGCTAGTGAAGGATAACGAGCTGTTGTACTTATGAAAATTGCCCCTAAAAGTCGATTTATGAAGTTCAGAGCTCAAAATTCGAACTTAACATGAGCCCAACCTAATTGAAACAATGGAAAACAATGCGGTCTTCTTTTATGTCATTAGGTGCGTCTCATATAAAGTTCGACGTTTGAGCTGACCCTAAGAAACCAGTCAAAAAACCTCTTAACATATTGTTTTTCTCGTGATTCATGAATGAGTTTAAAACAGTATAATTTCTTACAGTATAATATTTATTTTAAAAACACGTAGTAGTGTACATACACTAAACCTGTGGTCCTCTATAGCTTTTGTTCCAGGAAATGAAGTAGTTTTCGACAAGAAAGCACTGACAGTACCGGATGCAGTAGTACATATGAAACGGGTCGGGGGTACTTCCTCACTCATATTCCGGAATATTCCGACTCGGATCCACCGAAGCTGGTCCGGAAACAAACGTCAGGAATCGGCGGAATCTATGGCTAATGCTAATTTGCATAAACGTTGAAAATTGATGTTTTTGGAGTGAAAATCCTTTTAAATCATTGAGCTCTTTGATTTAGATAATATATATGTGAGTTTCTAATGATAGTAATAAATCCTTGATAAGGTAAGAGCATTTTCCGCCATCTACCACAGGCAGCCCAAGCTGTATTATGGACGTGAGCACGTGATGGTGCAAAACCTCTATTTCAAGGTTTAATACACCATTGAAAGCTGTGATCTCAAAAGGGAATCGCAACCCGCTCTCGCGCGTTACAGGCGGAATTATATGCAACCATGCACGTAGTATGATATTAGAGAATTCCTATATGACACTTTGCACAGACCTTCAATGAAACACATGAACATATGACACAAAATCAAGGCTAACTCTAAGCAACAGAAAATTCGAAACAAGTATTTAAACAAAGGTTCATGTAAACAACAAGTTATGCACTCTCATATCGATCCCATTCACATTCCAACATGAGTCGTGCTTTCCTCAACACGATCCTTCAGCTCTTGGATTTCTTTCTCTGACGTCATTTCTACTTGTTGCTTCATGTCTTGGTGTCCTGATGACGTATCAAAAATGTCGGCTACCTTTCTCATTGCTCCAGCATAGGGGCGACCACTAGTTGGTTCGAAGTTCTCCCAGTAAGACCTTGTTGACCTGCAACAAGTTTTGTAATATATAGTTACTTTGTTTCTGATCTCCACCAATGAAGTTACATTTGTATATTTTTATATCAATCAATAGACCCTTTGCAGTACGTCGGACTCCAGCTGAATTTAAAGGACATAACAATATATTTCCAATTCTCAGGAAACTCAAACTCTTTTCCCTTGTCGTTTGTAGCAAGCCATCAATAAATACAACAAACAATGAAAATAAAGAGATGTACATGTATGCCATACCTTGGTCTGACCCATGGATAAGTGTGCTGTTTAAGGGCGCTTCCCCATAGGCCGTGCTTGTCACTTGCTGGTGGGTATTTACCACGTTCCTTTGCAAGCTGTCAATGAGATTACAAGT